AGCACCATGCTGAGAATTGCTGCACTGAACTCTAAAGCTGTCTAAGTCACCCAGTGTCAAGTCACACAAGTCAACTCTAACTCCCCGACTGGCTGTCTGCCTGGCAAGTATTCTCTTTATAGAGACTGAACCAACACCCATGACTGTATATAGTTATAGTTAAGAGCACAGACTCTGGGGCCAGCCTGCCTGAATTCAGATCCTAGCTTCACATTGTTTGCTCTTCACGGGAGCTGTTCACAAAAATTCCAATTCTCTTCTTCCTGATGTAGATGATGGATTACATTATCTGCTGCCTTGAAGTTGGGCATGGCCATGTGACTTGCTTTGATTAATTATTTTGAGAGCAAAAGTGATATGTCACTTCTGGGCAAAAGCCAGGAAGTCCACCTTACTCTAAGTGTGACCCATGGTCCAGCACTATAGGCATCACCTAGAAGGTTGAGAGAAATGTGGCATCTCAGGCCCGCCAGGACCTCCTGAATCAGAATGTGGATTCAATAAGCTCCCCAGGAGATGCCTATGCACGTTTAAATTTGAGAAGCTCTGCCCTAAGGTATGAAGCATTATTCACCATGTTCTCTTCTCTAGCCACAGCAGCTGGTGTCCCCGGTGGTAGAGTTTCCTTTAGACTAGGCTCCTGGCCTGACCTGAGATGGACAAGAAGCAAGGCATGAGAAAAATAAGCTTTTGTTCTAAGCCACTAAAACTTGAAGGCTGTTACCTTGGTTTAACTAGCTCCTTCTGAGTGATGTGGTCACTTAGCACTCTGTGACCTTGGGCAAGTTACATAATCTCCCTGTGCCTCAGCTTACTTGATGTAAAACAGAGACAGTAACAGAAAATAATATTTTAAACATGATGATCATAAATAAAATGTATTATTTATTCTAAACCCAAATAAAATGATACATTTTCTTTTATCCTTGCCACTCTCTTAAAATGTATATAAGGAAATAAAACATTCTAAGCCAGAAAACATGTTTTGTTGTCTTGGATTTTTCCTTTACATTTCTGAACCAGCTTTTCAAAAGGAAAAAACAAAACCATGGTACTGAAACAATTCACAATGAGCCATATTATTCAGTTCCAAAGTCACAGAATTTGAACAAGCAGCTTCCAAGCTCAGCCTTTTACCTACTCTAGACCAGGAGCAGCTAACATTTTCTCAAAGGGCCAGATGCTAAATACTTTAGGCTTTGTGAGTCACATGGTTTGTCACCACTGCTCGACTCTGCCATTGCAGCACAAGAGCAGCCACAGACAACACAGAAACAAATGGGCATGGCTGTCATCCAATGTAACTTTATTTATGGACACTGAAATTTGATTGCCATATAAGGTTCATGGGTCACTAAATATTATCCTTCTTTTGATTTTTTTTCAATCACTCAGAATTGTAAGACCCATTTTTAAGTCATGAGTGGTACCAAAACAGGCAGTGGGCTGGATATGGACCACGGGCCATACTTTGTGGCCTCCTGCTCTAGATTCTCAAGTTCATGTTTCAACATGTAAAGAAAAATTTATTTTGACACTTGTTAAGGTTAGGAAGACTTTATTTAGGACTACAGTGATAGGTTTTAAAACTATCGCAACAGAGGAAGAGATCAGGCTCAACTCTGAATACAACCTGATCATGTGGGGGTTTAAAACTAATGGGCAGAGTGAGGGGGTCAGTGATTAGAAAATTACTAACAGGAGATATCAAGAGTAGACGAGTTCTTACAAAATGAACTTAACAGGCTTCTCGTTGAAGGGGGGCTGAGAACTTACACATCAAAAGTGGAGGATGAAAAATTTCATAGATATTGAGGATGGGGGATTCTCTCTAAACTGACTTAGCAGGATTCTTGCTAAAGCTGGGCTATATAGGTCCATCACGAATGGGGACCAAGGTGGAGTCCTGGTTGAAAAGAAGACTCAGGGCCTGACTAAAGTTTGGTCAAGGAGGGAGCCTTTGTCAAACTACACCATGAAGCCTCCTTAATAGTCATGGACACGTGGTGTTCAACCCAATATCCACTTAGAAATCAGGTTAGAAATAATCGTCACAAGCCTGTTTTTATTAGTTCAACTTGAAGAAAATGTAAGATCCTAAAGATGTCAAACTTTCAGCAGAACTTATACCAGTCTTACCCGTAAAAATCACATCGCCCATCACTCCTTTCCTCACTACACAAAATTAGCAATTTACAAAGGAAATAGTTGGCTGTTGTCTTCATAGATGAAGTCAATGTAGTCTTATTCCTTTGCCAAAAGGCAGAGAAACCAGTTCCTGGTGTCTCTTTTCCCTGGGGCTATTCAAGGCCAGTTCATGTAGGACCACTTGGAAAGACAAGCTTTGGCTTCACCACAGATTTTTAACAAGGTGCTATACTACTTTTAAAAAAAGATTTAAGTAATTTTTTCAAGAGCTTTGGCTTCTGCTGTTTTTACTGACGTTTTGAAAGAAGCAGTGCTTACAACATTTTAAGTCTAGATGTCTCTATGGAAACCCAAGATAACTCATATTTTATGACCAAATGACAACCTACCTAGAGTCTTTATCCCATTGGATCACCATAGGTCATCTGCAGTATCAGAAACACCTTAGGTCTGTTTTTCCAAAACCCTATCTTATCAGGCATAATGAAATTTTTACAACTATTACTTTTGCCGAGGAGGAAATTAAGAAGGAAATAATTTATTTATCAGGCTTAATTCTGATGCTTATTAAGACATCGTTATTTAAAACATTCTTATTAGAAAAATTTTTTTATCAATTTTGGCAGACATAGTAAAAGAGGAGGAATGCAATCAAATAATTTAATAGCTGCTTTGAAATTTATGTCATTAATTTTCCTCCTCTCCGTTCCATCAGTGTCAAATACATTTTCTGTTTAAAATGTAACAGCTCCTCTTCCCACAGATTGCTTATTCATTGCAACAGAGAAAAAAAGTAATTATATAGTGAAGAAATAGGACAATACCTTGACCAGATGACCAAAACTGACATTACCTTAGTGTGATGGCCTGTGTGTGCCTCCAGATGTGATATCCTGTGAGGAACTTAACATCACCCAGAACCTGAATCTAATCATGAGAAAACATCAAATAAATTTAAAACAAGGACCATTCTATTATTTTAAAAAGAAGAAGAAGAGGGAGAGGAGGCAAAATGACGGTATTATTTTAAAATGTCAATGTCATAAAAGACAAAGAAAGCCAGTGAAAATGTTCTAGACTAAAAGAAGCTAAAGGCAGGTAGGTGCAGTGGCTCACACCTATAATCCCAGTGCTTTGGGAGGCCAAGGAAGCAGGGATTGCTTCAGCCTAGGAGTTCGAGACTTAGCCTGGGCAACATAGTGAGACCTTGTCCCTACAAAAAAAAAAAAATTAGGTATGGTGACATGAGACTGTGGTTCCAGCTACTCAGGAGGCTGAGGGGGAAGGATTGCTTGAGCCAGGTTGAGGCTGCAGTGAGCTGTGATCATGCCACTGGACGACAGAGTGAGACCTACCCACCAACTCCCTCCACCAAAAAAAAAAAAAAAAAAGCTGGATTCAAGACAAGTAAATGTAATGCTGGACCCTAGACTGGACCTGGAATTATAGGGCAGTGGGAGAACTTCTTTAAAGGACATTACTGGGTCAGCTGACAAAACTGGAATACAAATGATGGATTCAAGTCTATCAATGTTAAATTTACTTAAGTCAATAACTATACTGAAGCATTTCGGAGTAAAGGGCCATGGTGTGTGTGTGTGTGGGTGTGTGTGTGTGGGTGTGTGTGTGTGTGTGTGTGTGTGTGTGTGTGTGTGTATACTTTCCCAGTAAAAAGTTTAAAGAAAAATTAGGAGTTCTTGCCTACACTGAAGCTCTTGGCCACCTATTTTCTCTCCATGATACTCTAAATACAACACAGGAAGAGATGACTGTGCCAAGTAACAAGAAAGTATAAAGATATTTTAACATGATCTTTTATCAGTGATTGAAGCCTGCCAAAGCATTACATACTGCCCATTCTCCACAGTTTGTTGCAAAGACCAGCAAACACTGGATAACTCTAGCAGCTTTAAATGTAATCATTTCCCCCTAATTTCTCTCAATAGGGCAGTGATTCTAAAACCTTTTTGTATCTCACCACTTTCAGAACTATTTCATACACAAAACAAGTCTTTCAGCTGGTCACTTGGACAGGCACTATCAGTATCAATCAATTGAATTCAAGCTTTTGAACTAGGACATCTTAATATTTTAACCCATGTCTAAGTAGCTGGAGAATGTGGTACTCAGGAAGCTGAATGATCTCAACATATACTCACAAGTCCTCATCATCACTTGGAAATTGCTAGCAGAATTCCACAGAGCTAATGTCTATGACACCCTCAATGGTCCTGCCCTCTGATCTGCAGTATGCCAAATTAATGATTTTCCCCCAAAGCGATGGAGGGAACTGTGCCCCAGTCCAAAAATTTAGGACAGACTTTTCGATAGGTCAATCACTGAAGAGGGAACCAAAAAGATGGTAAATCACAATTAAACTGCTCAGCAATGCTTCAGAATCAGGAAACACTACTTATCCACCATTCTCCAAAACAGCAAAGACAGAACATACGTATATTGTTAAGTCTTTTCTATCCTTCCCTGTCTATCATTTTATTATTTCCTTGATTCTTTCAGTAGCGACTGTCTCTGGGCTAGAATACTCATATACTATTTTTGGCTTTGACTTTTTGTCCTAGATAGTCTTATTCACTTTTCCCCAAATTTCAAGGAGTAATTTCATTTAGCAAATGTTTACCAAGTACCTACTGGACATAAGATGCTAAACCAGACTTACCGGGTGGTACTCCACAGAGACAAAACTCCAGGTTGGTTGTCCTACAAATAATCCCCAAGAAAATGATATGAACACAATAAGTGCAATGAAATCTGCTTGCAGAAAAGCATAAGAAGCCAGAAATGAATTACAACCAACTGCAAAAAGGAACAAACTAGTCAAAGCACTAAAATTTAATAAGAAGATAGTTTTTAAAGTGGATGAAATTGAAGGTGCATGTAACATTATCACAGATTTAAAATCATGCATATTCTCTATAAAACTTTTCAAATGCAGTTAAAAACACACACACACACACACACACACAAAACCAAGCAATTATAAATCCTCTGAAGCATGTAACTGTGATTAGCTGCTACTCTCAGCAATATAAAAATACTTTCACCACAATTACATTCCAGCCTGTAATGTAATTCAAAACAAACAACTCAGAGACATCGCTCAAATGACAGAACCAACAAATACAGATGCTTTGCATCAAGGAAATGAATCTACTGAAGAAATGCAACTGAGGAGCAGCAGCCCCTCCAGGGCCTGGAGCTGAGCTTCTGGTGGAACGGCGAGGCCCCCTTCTGGGCAGAAGCACACAGTGCGCCCAGTGGGGCTGTGCAAAGCTGCCCTATAGTCAGGGAGGTGAACTGGGGACTTCGTGCTGTGGATAGCCTTTCTAGTGTTGTGTTCAAAGTTTTACATTTTAGATTTAAAATTTATTATATGGATTTTTAAAGAAATAACCGTTTGTTTCAGATTAAACCGACCATTCTATTTTTCAGTCAGCATTCTCACCACCGACTGGCACCCATCCTCTTTACCCTGTGTTCCTTTTGCTTTTTGCCGTAACTCTTATTGTCCTCCAATAAACTGTGTTATCTATCATATCTATCTCCCCTCGCTAGAATATAAGCTCCACGAGGGCAGGATAATTTGGTTTTTTGCTCAATAACAATTGTCCCATTTAGTCTTTATCTTTGAAGACTATTCATCTTCAAATAAGACATAAATTAGGTTTTATTATAGCAATACGCTATAATTTAAGTGACAACCCAAGCACTTGTTTTAAAACTATGCATGTTCTCTAAATGCTTTATAAAAGCAAAGTCTTTTTAAGAACCATATAATTATGGTCTCTATATACACAACTTACATACAATTTAGAGAGAAGTCACAGCCCCTCATTGACCTGGGAGAACATCGTAGCTGCAAAAAATGAAGAATCTGACTCTGAAATGGCAGTCCTGGAGAAGGTGTTCTCAGGGTGGCACACTGTATGCAGTTAAGACACACTCCAGGCCCCTGGGTCTGGCCACACATTCTCTAAAAAGTCAGCACTTGCCTGGACTGGGCACTTGTGGCTGGAACGGTACGCACTACTTGCTAATTTCTAAAACCTCAAACCTTAATTTTCCCCCCATCTCAAAATGGGAATCAGCTTGTGGAAAAGCTAACAATTGTTTACAATTGTCAGACTTCTAAAAAGTGCTAATTTGTTCCCTTAACAGAGCAAATGATGAGAGACACCATTTTCCCACAGATTAAAAACAATATATAAACATATGATTCAACGATGTCAACAGCTTTCAGTCTAGGAATCTTGTCCAGGTCACTTTGGGTCACTTGGTTCTTTCATCAGAACATGTTCAAGATTTCTGACATTCCTTTTTCCGAACTTTTGATTTTGGGGCTGTGAAAAGAATAGAAAAGAAAAAGAAAGTGAAGAGGTAAGCTCATAGCAGACTCTCTTTGTATAGATTTAAGGGAAGTACATTATTTACAATAGAAAACTGACCATTTGGATTTTCTTGTTTGTAGAAGGTCTTTAACATTTCCACTGCTTCCTCAGCCCGATATCCAGGGATACACTGATGGAATGAGAAAGCTGAGAATGAACATAGGCCTATGAAAATGTGTGTTGTATCCCATAAAAACAACAATATATACGTGATTATGTAAACAGATTTCATATGTTAATAAACTTTGGGGATATTAGTAACATAGGTAATGAGGTACACTTCCAAAAGATGTTTAATATATGGCCTCAGTGAGGCTTCACTCCCAATCAACTGTTACTCATCCATCAACTATTGTAGAAGTTACCAGCTTTGTGATCTCGGGTTAGGCACTTAAACTTTCCATGCCTTATTTATCAAATGTTGGCAATAATAGCACTTACTTCAGTGGGATTTTGTGAGGATTAAGTGAGATAACACCTGTTAAATACCTGGCACATCATAAGTGCTCATTAAGCATTATTTTTATCTGCTCCTATTTACTAGTGGCCCATTAAGCATTTGATGCTATAGAGCTAGGGTTGGCAAATTATACTTGGTGGACCAAATCCGTTACAAAGCTGAGAATTGTGAGCTAAGAATGGTTCTTATATCTTAAAAGTTTTGTTAAAGAAAAAAAAAGACTAAGTGACAGAGACAGAAGTGGCTCACAAAGGGTGAAATATTTACTAGCTAACCCTTTGCAGAAAAAGCTTATCAACCCTTGCTATAGAGGCTTTTAAAAAATAAAATTCAGCTTGTTCTATCTTTAGCATCTAACTGGGGAAAAGAAATCATAACATGTGAAAGAACAAATAAGAAATTGTGTTATCAGTAAGGAGTGTTACCATATGAAATATTACCTGAAGGCACGAAACTTGAACTTACCTTACGGATAGAGAATATTTAAAGAGGCTAAGCAGAGCATTTCAGGGAAAGGGCAAGAAGCAGCCTGGGTAGTGTATGAGGAAATCAGCTGATAGACGAGGAGGTGATTATTAAGGAAGCATAAGAAAAGAAAGACAAAAAATGGGATAAAAAATATGTATGGCTTGGAAAGTTTGTCAGAAGAGTTTGGACTTAAAACCATGTACCCTTCTGAAGTGCATGAAATGACACAATGAGCATCTGGAAGGAAGATGCCAGAAAGCACAGGCACAGGGGACAGGACGACCACCTACTGCAAGATGCTGTTCAGAACGAACCTCCCATTCTCCTGTGTCTTCAGTCTGCCCTTGCCTGGGCCTCCCACACCTGCATAAACCTTTGCCATAACACATAACCTTCCGTCCACCCTGCCCCATCAAAGGCTGACACCCTGCTCCTGCCTTCACTCCTCAGTGGCCTCATCTTTACTGGCTTGAGCTCCCAGCGCTTCACTCAGTCTGCCTGTTGCAGGAAGTCAGGGACCCCAAACGTAGGGACTGGCTGAGGCCATGGTAGAAGAACATAAACTGTGAAGATTTCATGGACACTTAGCACTTCCCCAATCAATACCCTTGTGATTTCCTATGCCTGTCTTTACTTTAATCTCTTAATCCTGTCATCTTCGTAAGGTGAGGAGGATGTATGTCACCTCAGGACCCTGTGATGATTGCATTAACTGCACAAATTGTTTGTAGAGCATGTGTGTTTGAACAATATGAAATCTGGGCATCCTGAAAAAAGAACAGGATGGCAGCAATGTTCAGGGAACGAGAGAGATAACCTTAAACTCTGACTGCCGGTAAGCCGGGCAGAACAGAGTCATATTTCTCTTCTTTCTAAAGCAAACAGGAGAAATATCACTGAATTCTTTTTCTCAGCAAGGAACATCCCTAAGAAAGAGAATGCACCCCTGCGGTAGGCCTCTAAAATGGCTGCTTTGGGGGCGGCTGTCTTTTATGGTTGAAGACAAAGGGATGAAATAGCGCTCCCAGGCTTATCAGGACGAGGAAATTCCCGACTAGTAAATTTTGTTCAGACTGGTTGTCTGCTCTCAAACCCTGTCTCCTGATAAGATGCCATCAATGACAATGTGTGCCCAAAACTTCATTAGCAATTTTAATTTCACCCTGTCCTGTGGTCCTATGATCTCACCCTGCCTCCATTTGCTCTGTGATATTTTATTACCTTGTGAAACATGTGATCTCTGTGACCTACACCCTATTCGTACACTCCCTCCCCTTTTGAAAATCGCTAATAAAAACTTGCTGGTTTTACAGCTCAGGGAGCATCGTGGAACCTGCCGACGTGATGTCTCCCCCGGACACCCAGCTTTAAAATTTCTCTCTTTTGCACTCTTTTCCTTTATTTCTCAGACCAGCCGACGCTTAGGGAAATAGAAAAGAACCCATGTTGAATATCAGGGGTGGGGTTTCCCCCGATATCTGCCCTCTCAGAAATCCCCAGGTCCCTACTGACCAAAACACTGGTCTCCTTTCAGCTTCCTCAACTCTGCAGTCCTGGAGGCAACTGGCCACCGTGCTCCATCTGACCGCTCTTTGCCTCCCTTGGCTTCTCAGCGTTTCACCATCCTAACCACTGCCGGCCAGTCCCGTCACAGATGCCCTCTGCTTCCTGCTGCGTTAAGTGCTGGAGCTCTCCAGGAGTCGCCCTCCACTCCACTCGCACACTCAGTGCCCTCTCCTCTCACATGGGATGAGAGCAGTGGTTCTCAACCATGACTGCTCAGGAGAACCGCCTGGAGATCTCTGGAAACACAGCACTGTTGGCCCCCTGCCTTCTGATTCAGATGGTCTGGGGCAGGGCTGAGCAGGGTCTGGGGCAGGGCTGAGCTGAGTCAGGCGTAGAAGCCTCTAGGAGATTCTAATGGGCAGTCAGGAATGAGAACTGCTGAGTTACAGGCCTTGAAGGAAACTGCACCACTCTAACACACCAAGATAATTTATTATTTATATTTTCAAGTATCCATTACAGCGACAAATTTGTGGCATTAATAAAAAGCACACATTAATAATAAAATAATTTTTTTTTTTTTGAGGCGGAGTCTCACTCTGTCACCCAGGCTGGAGCACAATCTCGGCTCACTGCAAGCTTCGCCTACTGGTTTCACGCCATTCTCCTGCCTCAGCCTCCCAAGTA